TTGTCTTCTATCTTTATCTTCTGCTCATTGATTTATCGGGTTGTTTAACTGTCCCCTACTTTGGCTCGCGACTTCTCCTAACCTAGTGTTTCGAAACGACCGAAATATACTTTCGTTGTACTCGATTCTTAGTCTTCCTTGGTTTTGGAGGAGCCGACTATTCACCACTTACTTGACTAGGCATTTTAGAGATGTCGGGTTTATAGTGTTGGCTTATTGTGGTATTACATTGATCCTTCCTTTTATAGCCTTCAGAAAAATATGCTGGGTCCTAGGAATGATCCTATTCTTTCGTGAGGGAACTGGCATGTTTTTAGCGTTCTCTACTACGTTTTCTGCCTTTTCTGCTGGATTCAGTTGTTCGTCTAAACAATTAGGTTTTGTTTCTTGCTATCATTCTTTGTGTTATTCTTTTTCAGATTGATATATTTTTTAAGTAAAGGAAACAACCAAGGGGGGATGACTTTTACGTCGGATGAGGTTAACTTCCTCATTTATCGATACCTGCAAGAAGCAGGCTATTGTCATTCTGCGTACCTTTTTGGATTAGAAAGTGAAATCAGTCAGTCGAACGTGGATGGCTCCCTGGTGCCTCCAGGTTCGCTTTTGAGTTTAATTCAGAAGGGATTACAGTATACTGAGGCAGAAATCAGCATCGGTGAAGATGGCAGTGAGCGCGTAGTTGAGTCCCTCTCCCTCATCGACGCTGTTGTTCCTGACGTGATCGAGAAACGGAAGAGTTCGCTAAAGCAACAGCAACAGCAGCATCAGCAGCATCATCCCTCTGGTTCCGCTGCCTCCAACGCCTCAACCGGCCAGCAGCAACAGTATAACAGCGCATCGAATTCTCTAGCCGCTTCTGGTGGTGGTGACGGATACAATTCCCATCTCCCTCCCGCTACTTCAGATTCTGTAAATACACCTACTCCAATGGACAGTGAGAGCGGTGGTGGTGGACAGCATTGCATTAATCCTGGTGGCATTCTCCTACCCAATAACCTCACTGCCACGTCGGTTTCTGTGCAGCAGCAACAACAACCGCATCTACCCCCGTCGGTTGTCACTGCAGTATCTCCTCCCTCTACTAGTGGATTTAACTCCGGTAGTCCTCTTAACACTGGACATCTACGTTTGCCAAACAAGAATTTCGTCTCCTCACAAGATGCCCTTTCCGGTCACCCCGTCCCCAATTCGGTTCTGCTCCCTTCAATGCACACTAATGGTGATAATGGCCACAGTACGTTACTTTATAAAGTTACTTTATTTACGAGGTCGTAACTATCAGGCATTAATGACCACATCAGGTCGCAGACATTAGTCTTCCTTTGATTGCTGTTTCCTTTTTTCTTCGCAGCATTATTAGAATGACTGGCTAAGAAGTGTCTTACAATGCCATCACGTACTTTTAGTTTGTTGGAACTCTGTAAACTTGTTAATTGTTCTGTATTTTCAATCAGAGGTCTGAGTCATTGGGTCAGTTTTCTTTCTCCTTCCGTCAGTGTTATTGTTGGAAATTGTGATTTAGTCAACCACTACCGCCCGAGTGCCGATACGGGAATAACGGGCATGGATGTAGACAGAATTCCTCATCAACCACCAGTAAGTCAACCGGCGGCACCACCTCCAAACGCCTCTGCTCATTCTCCGGATCCCGGCCTCATTCCTCAAGACCGAATCACCGTTCTTCGTGGCCACACCTCGGAGGTCTTTATATGCGCATGGAATCCTCGCACAGACATGCTGGCATCTGGGTGAGTTTGCGTCCCTGTAAATTTCACTCTTCATTGTCCATAATGCGCATAATGTTTTCAATTATCCGCATCTTTTTGCACTTGTTAGTATCCAAAGTTGCTTGTTCGAGGCCCGAGCAGTTTTCTACTCGCATGTTAGTAAGCTGATAACCCTGAAGCAGGTTTTTCAGATCCTAGGAGCTGGCTCGCGCACACTCCAGACTTGTCAAAACATGCTTGTTTTTCACCAAACTCCACCCTTTAGTGTGCTGAGCCCTACATGTTTTTCGACACGGCCTCTGCCGTTAGACCTTAATGACCTCCCCCCTATTAACTCTTGTTTTGTGATTGGCTGTGCGCACGCAACGCTCAGACCCAAACTGCTCGTTTTGTAGCCTTTTATATGAAAACCCCAAGGCAAAGAAATATTGTGTCGTTTAGCACGTGTGTCATGCTCTTTTCTTACCTGCACGTAAGCGTGTGCCTATTCTGACAGCCGCGCGATTACGGGCCTGGAATGGGAACTATTTGCGCTTACATAAATGTGTTTCACTGCTTCTTGTTAATTATCTCATTTCCTCAGTTCTCTGTTTGAAACACTACTAGTAGTCTAAAACATTCGCGCCCTTTTAGATGTTCACTTCTTCGCTTCTCTAAAGCTGCACAACGACCGGGTAGTTGAGACGTCTAACTGCAGTTGCTTCTTTTGTGTCCTTTGTTTTTAACGCCAAGTTATTAGGAGCTCATTTGAGATGAGCACTGCATTCACTGCCTTGACGGCTCTTAAACCCTTTTTGTCTCAAAAAAATGCTTGTGGAACAAGATGTCTTCCCACTCTGTACGTGTATGTGCGCACTGCCGATACGTTTCCGCTGGTTACATTTTTATTGTGCGCGGTGGCTGCTTTGCGTCACTGCACCCACAGTCAGCAGTCACGCGAGCGCGCATTAGCGTGTACTTGTATTGCGTTTATTCTGCTATCCGCCTGGGAACTTCGCGTAAATCACTTCTTTCCCATTCACTTAGTTCAAGTGTCTTCTGTCCCTTAGGTTACAAATAAAGTACTTTTTTGAGATGCTAAGTCATTCCACTAGGTTTGTGTGCGATCTTGGATGCATTCGGTATGCGAGTATTAGTGTCTGGCTCCTACCGCTGTCACTCGCACCGCCATTGTATTTCACGTGAATCATACATCTGCTCTCGTTTTTTTGAAAGTTGAATACACTTGTTCTTACTGTATGGACGTATTTTTGTGTACACGCCTTTACCAGCTCTGGCGACTCAACTGCACGCATATGGAATTTGGAGAATACATCGCCGACGAATTTCCGGAGTTCTCCTATCATCCTCAAGCACTGCATCAGTCGTGACGGCCACTCTGTTCTCTCCGCCAAGGATGTTACCTCCTTGGACTGGAATGTATGCCACTCCACAGTTTTTGTAAACAACTTTATTGTGCGTTTAGTAACCTAATGGAAGGATAGTTTTTTATCCGTCTCATTGTGTTAGTGTAATGGAAAGCTGATCCCGCCCTAACTTATTGCTTTTAACTTGCTTTGTTTCACATTTTTGTCTTTATTTATAGTCTGATGGAAGTTTCCTCGCAACCGGCTCCTACGATGGATATGCCCGCGTTTGGGACACTGAGGGTAGTTTGTCTTACTTCGTCAATTACATCTATGCGGGTATCCTTTATTCCACTCCACGAACACCGTTATTGCCTTCCCTTAGCTCCTCCTTGAAAGGATTTGGCTCCGCCAATTTTACTGTTGGCGTGGTGTCTATGTATTGCTCCTCTCCTTCAAGCAAGGTTCATCCAAGTTGAGCTGAGAGGTCATCACAGGTGTGAAGCCTAGTGGTAGCTCTATGGCCGGTGCCAATGGTGCGTGGATGTCTGAGTGTATAGTACCGCTTTGTGGGTGTGCACACAGCACCAATTCGCCTTGAGCCCATACTATGGTATGGTGTGGCGCAGCGATGTGTGCCGCGGTGTTGTTGCGGCAGCGAGACGTTTGTTTGCGCGTCACTGTGTGCACACGCGCCTGACTGCTGCTGTCGCTGCTTTTAGAGGCGCGAGAGAGGCAGTAAGAGCGCTATTCCGTGTGCGCCCATCCCTCCATCCAATCGCCTTGCAGTCCCATTTTCCACCTTCTCTTCCCCTACCCTTCAATCGATGTCTATGCACGGGTTAGATCCCCTTTTTCTGTTACTGTCTCACTCAAATTCTCTCCTTCTTCCTCCCACTTTTTTCTTGAAATGAATAATCAACTGCCTATGCTTTCTCTTAGTGCCATTATTTGAGTGTAAGAATAAAACTGTTTCTTTGTTAGGCGTAGTGCAAGGCATGAGTAAGCTGTATTACGGTTACCTTTTAGGCCTGAGTTGGGTTTTCTCTTTTCCTATCGCATATTAACGCTGGTTTGTCTACTTGGAGCCGTGAGGAATTCAATTGGTTCAGTTTAATTCAGTGTCGATTTTTGGAGTCTTATTTGGCTTTTTGTAGGAAATTTACAAAAAACTCTTGGTCAACATAAAGGTCCTATATTTGCCCTCAAGTGGAACCGGAAAGGCAACTATATTCTCACTGCAGGAGTCGATAAGGTAGGCACGACTCACCTACACTTCTTAATCTCTTTCTCAACATGTATGGAAGAGCTCAGATGGTTGCATATTGTACAAGTCTTTCTTAGTTAACTTACTGTTTTTAACCCGTCCCATTTGTACGATCTTGAGAGCAACTGGATTGCATGATAGAAAAGGCCACTATTCGTGGAAGCACTTTTTCTTTATAGACTACAATTATTTGGGAGGCCCAGACGGGTCAGATCGTCCAGCAGTTTGCTTTTCATCAAGGTAAGCTCATTTCCTCAAAGTCACTTGATCTCGCTTGCTCTGTTTTGAAGCATTATTTTATTTCAGCGCCCACTTTGGACGTCGACTGGAAGTCAGCAGACACCTTTGCTTCATGTTCCACCGATACTTACATCTACGTATGTAAGCTGAAGGTTGATACTCCTCTGAAGACCTTTAAAGGACATGGAGTGAGTTTTCTACTCGTTCAGCTTTGCATTTTGCTCGTATATTTATGTCTGTATCTGAGCAGCCTCGGGTGTG